CATACATACATACATACATATATACATACATACATACATACACACACAACGCAAATATATATATATATAAAATGACAAAATAGAAGTCATGATTTTATAATGTATTTACATTAACACACACATACATACAAACTCATACATAGGTAAAGAAATTGTTGTATACGCAAGTATATGTACGAGACAGCGCGAGTTGAATTTTTTTTCTCTCTTTTAGTTAAGAAAAAACCAAAATTTGTCGGAATATTTCCGATTAAGGAAAACTGGAATTAAGTAATTTTTATTAAGTGAAGACAAAAAAAAAATAATAATAATAATAATAAAAATAAAGAAGAAAAACAATTATAATGTTATTTTTAAAACAATTATTAAGACATAGAAACATTTTCCCTCATGAAGGCAAACTTGATCCTCAAATTATTTCCACATAAAAACAAAAACAAAAATAATGATAATAATTTCTACACATTATTTTTTAAATTTAACTTTTATAAAACAAATTAAAAAAAGCAAAAACAACAAATTATTATTAACAAAATATGAAAAAGAAAAGGAAAAAACACACACAGACAAAGCCATTAGCAGTATCTATGTAGACTTTTATATCAGTACATACAGTCATTCGAAAAAGTCTGCATACAAACGTTAATATATTATTTATTTTTTTTTTTTTTTTAAATTACTTATATTACGTTTTTGAACTCAAATTTGCATAATCTCCAAAAATCAATTTATAAATATTTTTTCGCACGCAAGCTTGCAAATTGTATATATATATATATATATATATGGTGAATGGCGATGTCCATTTAATCATATCCTTCTGTCCGTCTTTGTAACGGTTCATCTATTAAAATTTTAGCTATCACTTTGTCATTTCGTGCGCATTATCCGTTCAGGTTAAGCTCAAAAACGCTCTAAATCCGATCAAGGCATCATCCTCAATTACGAGGAAAAATGCAAAATTATTAATTTGCAAAATGTGAACAATAAAGTAAATAAGATAAGAAAATCGCATAATCATGGAAAAATTGCATTCAAAATATATACAATATACGATATGCAATCGATATATTTAGCTAATTGATCTTCTTTCTATCTATACTTTGCAATCAAAAAAAAGCAACAGACAACAGATTATAGGCTTTTTCTTTATAATTTTTATTAAGTTTTATTTTTTCCTTACATGATTACAAGTGCCCCAAAAAAAATAATATTTTTTAATCATGTAAGACATGGCTTGCAAGACATTTTAATTGAACATCAATTATTTAATCTCAAAGACACCATCAACACACATCGAACATTTGTAAGCAGACTTTTTTTTGAATGACTGCATATAATAAATAAATGGGTTACAATTTGTACATTTAATTTATTTAATTATGTTCTCTTAATTTTAAAAATAATTTCGAAAAAGTTTTCACTTTAAAGAGATTAATTATTCTTAACACAGATCTACTACACAGATCACAGAATTGCGATTTAAAAGGAAAATTTTACTGCAGCTTAAAGCTTAAAGCTCTTAACTTTTTAAGCGATGTTTTCAATTCATTCAATACAACTTAACGTACCATTGCACTTAATAATCGATTCAATACATTTTGTGTAACTTTGCATATAAAAAACAAAAAAAAAATGAAAAAAAAATGAAAGCTAATCCGATATTAATTCTAATTGAACATAATAAGTGCTTTTAGCAAATTGACAAAGTTTTATTTATACATTCGTTGACCTCGTTTCTTTCATTTATTTTTATCAGATTAAATCAAAATTATGCAAAAGTTTATCGATTGGTTACTCTTATGCAGATTTTACTCTTTTTCGCTAACAACTTTAGCTTTCACTATCAGTTTTATATATATATATAGGACATTAATAATGATAAGAGATGCGTTTAGTGTAAACCTAAAACTATTTTCAAGCATTAGATAGGGTCTAGAAATATTAATTGCGTATAAGATAAACGAACAAAGGGAAGGAAAGATATCGTGTAAACATTTAGTAAAATAGGCTAAAGGGTTTCCGTATCATAAGAAAAGCATATATATATGCAATTATATGTTGTTGTAATCCATGTGAAAAGGAAATTGAATTTATTTTTCTACACTACTACACCGTGAACGCAAAATATATATATATGTGTACACATATCTATATATATATGTATGTACATGTAGGTTCAGAATATATGCACTCGCATTTATATATACATTTGTATATATGTGCACATATATATTTTACAATTGTTTGTTAGTGCTCTATAAATAAAAATAGATATATGATGGGTTTGCTCCACGTTAAAAGCTAATAGTGGTAGTTGAAAATTGTCTTAGTAGATTGCAAGCGGTCGCTGTAGAGCGATATAAAAATAAAGGAAGAAAAGAAGGAAAAAAAATTGACATAGATTCCTTACTTATTCCTTTCAAATGTGCACTCAACGGTCAGGAAATATAAAAGGAAAGCTTCCACTTTTGTCTTCATCGACATGGTAATATGAGAAGAAAAGGCTGCAAAAATTCTTCATAATATTTCATAAAATGTAAGAATATCAGTTACGGCGTCGCCAAAGCAAAGAATGTCAATTACATTAGTTTATCCGCTCGATATTTCGTGCTTGAGTGCACATTCAAGAAGCAACGAATATAAGAAAATATGCTCGTTGCTCTTCTCTTATCAATAAAGCTTCATGCTATAAATATATATATATATATCTATATATATATATATATATACATATAACATATATATACATTATATTTAAGAAAGCGTCTCTTTAGAACAAAGAAAAGAAAAGAGGAAAAAAGCAAGTAAGGCAATGGTGTTCGACTGTGACATTAATCTCTTATATCCGTCACACTTATCCTGAAAGAAATGGAAAGAAAATGAAATTTTTGATAATCTATAACTTTGGGGTGAATGTGGGCGAATTTTTTTTTTTTTTTTTTTCATTTTTATATATCTTATTGTTGGCATTTATGTTTTAGCAGATATCTTTATATCTGCGATCTGAAGAATTGCTATCATGGGCAGAACCATATGCTCTAATCGACAAAATCTATTCAAAAATATCTAAATAATATACATAAGATTTACGCAGCATACTTGCGGATATTCCGAATGGGTTGGCCATCTTTCGATAATACGTAGATACGAGAAGAGGTAGATAGTATTATATCCAACTTATAAGCAAGAACAATTATTTACAATCGAATGAACAATCACGAAACTATAGATTATAACTATTTCATATATTCATATATTCCATTTTCTAAAATCCGAAGAAATATTTCTCGGTTTATATGCTATTTAAATCAATCATTCAATCAACAAATCATTCTTCCTTTGAGTGATTCGCCTTTCAAGACCAATACCCCATTGCATTGTATAATAAGAAAACGCTAAAAAAAAAAAAAGTAAAAAAAAAATAAAAATGAAAATGAAAAGAAAGGAATAAGAGAGTTCCAGATACCACATTCGATCATCATTTTTAAACACTGTTGCATTTCTCAGACGATAGCCATTGTATCTAGTAATAGGGACAATGTATGAAAAATATATATTCTATATCATTCGATTACATAAGCGTTGCACGTGTTAGGGACAATTTCATACCATCACTATGCTAACGGCCGGCTTTCCTTAAGGCTAAGTTACGTTAAGTTGGTCTGACTTTATGCTGCTAACACATTTCTTCTTAGAATTATTAGGCGAGCGATTAAGAAAATGAAGCTTTGTCATTTGCAAACAGTACAGTTACTTATACGCACTAATTAAAAAAATGTATATTTACTGCGCCTTCACATGAGGACAGTTTTCGATAAAGTTTCCATAAAACTTAATGTTTCTCTTCAAAATATTTACTACAGATTCTACGGTACAGATTGATTAACACAAATATCTCATAAGTAAAAATGTGATGGTCGCCTTGGGAGTTCAATGTTGTATGCGTAGAAGAACTGCAAAGTGTTCTATTGTATTGTAGAAGGCCTTACGTAACCTTTGCGCAAAGTCGCAGATTAGTAGATGTAGCAGATGTTTGTGGATTATTTTCGTGCCGGCAGATCTGCGAAACATTTGTAGTTTTTGCTTATTCCCAAAATTGATCTATGACCATCAACTACGGATATAATTTCACGTTCTCATCGTCACTTGTATATAGCACTATATATATATATATTTTATATGCCTCGGAGGCAAATTCCGGAATATTATAAAAAGACGGATAAAATAGACAAATTCTTCGATGACATTACACAAACTTCACTTAACAGCTTAAGAGTCCTTCCATCCGAATCAAATTAAAATTGATTTTTGCTTTAGAAAAAAAAAAAAAAAAAAAAAACAAAGAGTTTCCTTTTAATCCTAACTGAACCTTATGAATATGTCTCTTATAAGTAAAATAGGGAACAATATTGTTTATAAAACAACAACTTTTAAAAATAGAACCCTATTAACAAAATCTTACTTGAATTCAATATTTATTATCAAAAAAAAAAGAAAAAAGAAAAAACAATGAAAAAAAAATATTTGTAAATTTAAATTAATTTTTTGTTTTTTTTTTATTGATATTTTTTTTTTATTATTAAATCTACTTTTTAGAAATTATTTTATTCTTTTATATATTAAGAAAAAACATTATCTATCTACAATGCGCAAACACACAATTATGATTAATGGCATTCACACACATACACATACACTCGCGCGCATATATATATATATATATATATATATATATATATATAT